GCCGGAAGAGCCCATAGATGAAGATCAGCCGCGAGACGAGGACCAATCGGAGCCACAGAAACCCAAACACAAATCAAAGCCTAAACCAAAGCCAAAGAAAGAGCCGAAAGATAGCGGAGAAGAGGAGAGAGAGAGAGAGAGACGATAAAAACACCGCAAGAATAAAGAGTTTGATATTTTTTAAACGGAAAAAGACTTATGTTTTCAATTTTGACTTTTATTTGTTGTAATAAACAATTAATTTGTATTCATATCTGCGATAAATTATAAAATAGTTGCGGTTATTGTGAATAAATTTATTATAAAAAATATATCTTAAGATATAAATACTTTTAACTCATAGCGACTGCAAATCATTTGCTAATTATACTAGGATTTTAATGGATCTCTAAACTGTTCAAGATTTCACATTATAACACTAATTGTAAAGTTATAATTAAAAAAAAGTTATTAATTTATTGTGTGTTTCATTAGAAGTTTGAATAATTTAAAATTCAGTGATTATTTATGATAATTGTTTTATTTCTGATATTTAACTTTAATAAATGTTCAATTGAAACCAACGATAATCATGAATAAATTAACAATATGTTTTATATTTATCACTTTATTCGCACTGATTTTATGTAAGTTTAATTAATAATTCACTAACAATAACTATGTAATGGTAATTATTTAGTTAAAAATTAATCTAGGTATATTTTTGCATTATAATTAATGTAAATGTTAATAATTGATTGTGAATGTTTAAAAATAATTTTATTTATGTTTAAATTTAAAACTCATTATCAGTCTAGTCCCAAAATACCAACCATTATAAAATATATGTAGTATAATACAAATGTAAAATAACTCTTTACAGTTTGTTCATAGTAACTTTAAATGTTGAAATCACAATTATTTTAAATTACAAACAAATTATTTAACATGTATTAACTTCTATTTACAATAATTTTATGTTTATATTTAAATGACATCTAAATCTCACTCATTATCTATCGATAACTCAATTATAGGCCAACAAAGCGAGGACTCGGAAGACAGCGAGCCGTCAAACGGTAACAAATGTGAGCCCAAACCCCAGCCCTGGGCTAAGCCTAAGAACAATAAGAAGAATAATAAGATGAAGGATAAGGACGACGAAGAAGACGACGAGGAGGAAGAGCCTAAAGATAGTGACAATAAGAAACCCAATGATGACGACGACGAGGAAGACGAAGACAATAACAAGAGACCAGATTCTGGTGATAAACAAAAGCCTAAGAAGAAGCCAAAGAACAGTAAACCGAAGGACAAGAAAGAGCCCGAAGAAGACGACGGAGAAGAAGATGAGCCCAAAGATGACAACAAACCCAAAGGGAAGCCTAAGAATAGGAACCAAAAGAAACCGAAAGATAATAAACCTAAGGATGAAGAGGAGGAGGACTGGCCCGCGGGTGAAGAGCCCGAAGAACCCGAGTTGGAGACACCCGAACGCCAGAGACCCGATCCAC